TTAGGTAGTTTCCTACTTTTTAGCCTTTTTCTGTTTTATGTAAAGCCTATAAAAGGCTGGCTTCTGGTTAAATAAAATATACAGCAGGTTTTACCCAAACCCATTACTTTCTTGCTTTGTCAATTTCCATCACTACCTGATTCTATAATTTTGGAAGCCAGTCCGTGAAATGAATCAAAAATCAACTGAAATTTTTCTAATTTGATTAAACGAACTCCGGTCTCGATTCCAACTTCCAATGTCTCAAACGATAAAAACAGTATGTTCGGAACTGCAATTTCGTGACTCCGAGTCGAAATTCAATCAAGATCAGTTTAATCCTTCAACTAAAACAACTTCGGTTCTGATTCTAAGCTCCGAAATGTACAATCTAAACTCTAAGAAACAAATCGGTTCAGCGAAAACCAAATCAAACGATTAGAAACAGTAAATAAAACATATAAACCAAGCCCTAGACCTTCAATTAATCGTGGTAATACACGCATGTACAAAGCAAGCTGAAACAGCGAAGAATCAAAAGGAATCCATTTGCGAGAAGAATAAAGAAAAAACCCCACCGATTCTTTCAGCAGAAGAAGAGTAGAATCTTCATATCACCAACTTCAAGGTCTTGAAATGTGAGAGAGAGAGAGAGAGAGAGAGAGAGAGCATATGATGGCCACTGTAGTCACATGGTCGAGAAACCGAGTGAACTTAAAAAGGAGACATATAATTGAAAAGAAATTACTTTATGAGTCCTTTTTTATTTGTAAAATGTGTTTTCCAAGCCCTTAAATAATTGATGAATGGTAAATATCGGGGGTGTTCATTTAAAACGTATAAACTTAGTATCATGCCATAAAGTGTGGCTTAAAACATATGTGGTACAGTTTGTAATTTGCATTTTTATCGAACTGTAATGTATAATGTGGTTTTGAGTTATCAAACCATATCACACAACATATTTTGTATATATTAATTTTACTAAAAGAGAACTCGTGCAATGTAGCGAGATACATCTCGATTTTAATGTTTTATTTTATTTTTTGTCTTTGTCGATGTTA